ATGAACTACGAATTTAAGTCCGTCCACACGATGACGGATACTTTTGTACTTTGAAGTGACGATTACGGAACGATGTACATTTCGAAAATGCTCTTTAGAGTGGACATACCTAAAACTATTTCATGCACGTGTGGAAATGTTTTGTGCCCGCAATAAAAAGATTGCAGATTTAGAAAYTACCGGCTTCGTGTGGACTGGGCCTAATGTTGTTTTCAATTTCAAGCATTTTTATTTGTTTGAAAGTTTCTTAAGTTTTATACAAAATATTAAGTAGCCTGTGTACATCCGTTTCCTACCCCTCCAAGTGAGAAACGGATGTACACAGGCTATTAGCAAGACAATCGATAGAACTTGTTTGAATGATTGAAAGGAGGTTTCRATAAAACCTTTGGTGAACACCAAAAACCGATTAGAAAATACTAGTGTTAAGGTTGTTATTCTTATAGTTTTACAGAACAAAATATCCGATTTTTGACRTACTCCCATACTCGGTAGGTTTATATTATTTGTATCTGTGGTAATTTCAGCTTATATAAAACAATTATTAGGTGRATGGAGTTTTGACGCCTTTTTCTTCAAGTATTCTAATTAAACATATCGTATACATATTCGTCGTGATGATTTTGATGGAGTATATATGGAAGGGATGAATAGATAAAAGAATTCGGCAAATATTGAAATACATTGATATTGCATTGCATCAAATGGAAACTACACGGTCTTGTTCCACATACTCTGCGAACAGAGCTACTTTTCTCACCCGCCGAGAAGCATGTTTCACAAAGATGATTCTCAATCATCAGGCGTTTTAAYTGCTCAACTTCTAAATTGTGTACTTTATCTGAGCTTTCAAACTCAGTTTACATTATTGTCATGAAATTGTCTTTCTTGTAGTTTTATTAGTTGACTTCCGCAAGACGAAAATAACTCTATAATCACAGACACACAACATTGTGGTACTGCAATACTTTGAAGGGCATGATAGAATTTCTCTCTGAATGTTTGAATTTTTTGCTGTTTATTCGTTGAGTTATTGAMKCTCAAAAATATGTCACGCAATACCGTCGCATAAATAGTGATTATCTGATTAGTAGTACATTAGCGATTCGTAGTATTATGTTATCATTTTAGTATTGCATGAAAAACGTCCATGCCGATCACAGCTACCAGCTTTATAGGTAATGTTCAAATAAGTTCGTGCTAGTAGTGGTAATAGGCCGAAACTGGCTCACTTTTTTAAATCCACCCACACGGCTAGTCACCCGATTTTTGGTTAAAAAACGCGATTTTAGGTAAAAATTACCACTACTATGGGAGTTAATAATAGATCGTCTATTTTAATAACTGTTCGCGTATTGTGAATTAGTTTTATATCTATTATATATAAGGATGAGTGTGAATGATGAATACCAACTGCTTATGGATGCTATTACCAGTCTTAGCAGAGATGATCTAACCGATATCTATGCTAGAATTTCTGGAATTAAAAAGAAAGCAACGGCTATGCGCGGTTTCTTAAATACTTATGAAATAGAAGGTGGAAGGATAGATCCGAATGTATTTTTAGAAAGGAATAAGTCTAAGGTGGTAAATTTAATAAATAGAAAAGAAAAGCCGATTAAATCCAATATAGTTCTAACTTGTGAGTTCTATAAAAGAAATCCAGAAGGAACTGTTTATTCACAAGGAACTTTTCGTTCAAAAATAGAAATAATAACGGATTCGACTAACATTTCCGATATTTATGATAAGTGGTCAGAAGATATATTAGAAAGTTTCAGTAATTATCAGAATGCAGGATCTGGATGGATCTTCAGAAAAATAATAAGCTTAGAAATTAATATCGATAAATTCGCTCCAATGTCGGGAAGTTCTTATTTACCTCTTCCTAARGCTTTAATCCCMAAAAAGGCGATAATTAATATGAGAAACAAGGACAACGAGTGTTTCAGGTGGGCTGTAACTCGCGCTTTATATCAATCAGATAAGATTAACTTAGAGCGTGTTGATAAAAAATTAAAGGAAGATTCAAAAAATCTTAATTGGAACGGCTTAGTATTCCCGGTGGAGATTGAAGATATTTCAACTTTCGAGAATAACAATCCCTACGGCGTCAATGTATTCGGATATAACGGTGAAGTCTATCCGCTCAGAATAAGTAATAGCAAAAATAAGATAATTAACTTAATGATGGTTTCTGAAGGAACTAAAAACCACTATTGCTGGATAAGAAATATGTCCCGACTCGTAAGTAGACAGGTTGATAATCATCAGCATTATCGATTCATTTGCGAGAGATGCCTAAATTCATTCAAATCTCAAGAATCCTTGGATAAGCATTCAGAGTACTGTAGAAACGAAGATGCTATAAAAATGAGTCTTCCTAAAAAAGGGACAACTCTTAAATTCAAGAAT